TTTCAGAGCAAAAAACTGGGACTTTTTTTTTCACATGGAGTGACACTAACACATTTTTTTACTATTTGCTAAGCAACCTCATATTTATTGCATCAAATTTTAAAACCACATATATAGAAAATGTGCTAAATGCTTATTCTGTTAAAAAAGGTAATAAGTGAAATACAATATGCACTTTGTCTTAAACCTACTCAAAAAATTTTGTTTCTGTTTTTTTTTGGAAGCTGAACAGGTCTTCAAACCTCAATTCTTGTGGCTTCCCAATGACAGACAGATTAGGTTAAACAAACACGGCAGAGAGGAAGGAAACACTGTAGCATGTAATATTTGTCAACTGATTCTCCAAATGAAATTTAATGGAACAGTGGATAGTGACACACTCATATCAAGTTCTCATTGAGGTGTAAAGAAACAGGGAAATTTTAATATTTTTAATGTTTCTGTTCAGGATAGAAAAATATAGAGTTTAAAAACTGAAATGGTCCCACTTTAACTGGGATGGCTGGCAACCCTGATATATTGGTAACTATTGAGAAGGACTGTAGAAGCAAGAGTGGATCATTACATCTGCTATATGGTATCTGACAAATCATCACTTTGTAAACAGTACTGGGCTTATTAAGTACAAACAACTGCTTGGGACCTCACCATTTTAGGGGCCTCACAGTGACAAGTTAAAAATGTTTTTTAAAAATTAAAATGTATTTATTACTTTTTCTCTCATAATAGTGTAATTAAATACAAGATGTTTAGCTTCTTACAAATAATAGTACTAGACTTTCAAACCCTTTACAGCAGGACAATCTACTAACAAACTGTGTAAACTAATTACTCTGCTGTTTAGAGACTTACACTTATTTAGGATCTATATATGAAAATATCTGAAGGCAAAATGTTAAGCAACTTTGTCAAATATTTTAAAAGTAAATATCCAAATATTACAAAAAATAATATTCCATTAAATTGTAAATCTATTAACTTTATGAGATCATTACAAATATTTTGTAAATTTTGAAAAATTAATAATTATATAACACACTGTCTGGTTTTAATGATAAGTTACATTTCCACTAGCAATTAATGAAGTTCTGGATATAGATTTTCTGCATTATCCAAACATCACACAAGTACAGACAAAACCAATAACTACAGCATTAAATAACTTTAATTTAATTTACAAATAAGTTTTGATGATTAATTTGACCCCGTGTTGAGAATAAATCACAATCTCTTATAAATTGTACATTAGGCCTATAAATGTTTTATAATATTTGAGACACACTATAATAAGGTCAAGAGAATTCTGTCGAGGAAGCTTTGTATCAATGATTACATTTCTCTTCAAATTTATTTTTCGTTATATGTGCATGTCGATATCTTCACATTTCAAGTAAGATTTTGAATTCAATTGTCAATAAATAATTATCCTTACATACTTAACCTAAATAACAATAACTAAAACAAATTATTCTAAGCTTTAGTTGATCAATCATTTTTGTTTACACCATAATCTTGTTGATAGTTTTTCTAACCAATCACCTGTTCTTAATTTTAACTAAAGGGTCAATTCATTATTTATATAAGTGATATTGTTACTTACGTATTCAGTCATCTTATTCTACATTAGCAAATTGCTTTAAAATTGAGTTTATTTTTAAATATTTTTAGCGATTATTATATGCCTTTTTCAGAAAATATACTCATAAGAAATTGAACAACTTAAAAAGTATAAGACTAATAAACACCTAAAGCAAAACAACACAGTTCAAAATTTAAATGAAGATAAAGATAATTTTGGTTATATATATAATAATGTACAATATACACCAGTTCACTTTGTAGATTTTAAAAAGAATACACTGAAATACTGTTGCTTGTACTATGACTTCATTCTTTTTTTTAATACAGTTTTCTATATTTTAATTTTCATAAGTACATCCACAAGTAAATGTTACTTTAACTTAGTGGTTCACTTAAATAGCAGTAGTTAACTGACATTAAATGAAAGTAAACCCTGATTTTATTTATTAACTTTACAAAATAAAATTTACTCCCTATTTCTTATTTGTATGGTTATATAAAGTAAAATATTCAAATATATGTTTTGAACAAACATAATAATTTTGAAACCAAAGCAAAAATGTTCAACACCATGTTAATGACAATATTATAAAATTACAGGCTCAGAAATTAACCCTATGTGCATGGGTAGAAACCAATTGTGTATTCAATAACTTTTACAGAGTGCCATTCTCTGTCAATTATTCATTTTAACCTATATGGTAGGGAAAGTCAAATACCAGATAGAATATATATGGATACTAAAAACAATTACAGATGTGTATTTCAGATGTTCTAGACATTATGCAGGTACAAAGTGCAAACTGTACAATGGATAAGTGTTTTTATTCTTCACATGAAAACAATACCTTGTACTCTGATTTGGCAGATTCTGCATCAGACTAACATTATCAATTTAGATATATCTTGAGTACAAATACATTTGTAATACATCTGATTTTTGGTATACAACAGACTTGTATGTTTTTCTAAAAGCTTGTTAAATTTTGTGCATATACACGTAGAAAGTTTGGAATTACAGTTGTCAGCATTCCTTATTCAATAGGGGTCAATCTAATGCACTGACCCTGTGCACATTAGGTTAAACACTGGTACCAATTGTAGTTAGATTCATTTTTCGTTTTCTTAATGCCTTTTTTATATAAAAAAATACTAAAAAGTAATTTTTCTTATATCAATCTATTTGTTTAGAAAACTGTTGTCTTCACTAATTTTGCTCAACTAACCTTACCTGAAGATGTTTAACCCAAACAGATTATTAATAAAACAGTATCATGTTAAACATACATGTTCAAAAATAAGCTAATACATATTCATGCAAGTTTCAAATTGCTACAACAAAATCCTTTGTAATCCTGCATGGGTCTTTATTTAATAACCAGTAAACTATATTTAAGTGATAAACAATCAAGAGGATTAACTTACAGTCTAGTATATCAGAGACATGCACCAATTGTTTGTTTTTAAGATTTTGAAACAATGTGTACAGTGGAAACTTGTCTTTCTGAGATATATTTACATATTCTTGTGACATTACCTTTAATAAAGTACTGGTTGTTTTCCTCAACATTTTTTGAATCACAAGGATTCTTATTATTTATTGTTTTTTTTTTTTTTTTATAAGACCTACAGTAAACATCCCAATGTGAACTATAGTTCACTTCTCTACTGAGTATACTTCCCCCTAGGGATCTTAATAAAAAAATTATGTTATCCAAAATTTTGTTATTTAATGCTTAGTTAAAAAAGTTATTTTAAATAGCTTTGGCTTTTTTTTTTATAAAAAAAATATATCAATTTTATGTACTTTTTTTAAACTATCTGAATTTTTACTGCTATTCTATCATCATTATTATAGATTTTCTTAAACTCTTTCACTGTCTTGGACACATATACTCCCTTTCTCACCTTGGAACACTGCCTTGGGAGTTTGAAATTTTGTACCATTATATATAAAAAAAGTATTCCTCTTCAAACTTTCCAAAGTTGATAAGTTTCAAGTTTCAGATAATTAAGGAAATATTAAAAACACACTTTTTTGTTTTTCATTGTGCATATAAAAAATAAAACTGGCACTTGGAAAGTTGTTCATCCTTAAATGTGGTAGTTAAAGTTAAAATTATTTTTACTAACTGTATACTACCTTCCATTGTAAGGTTTCTATACCTATCACAGACTTAAATGTTTAGTTTTAAAATTACTTCTGACTGTTCTCTCTTTATTTAAAATTATGCTGTAATAAGATTCTTTAAATGCCCCATGATATACAGTGGTGTACAGAAAAACTGTTTTGCAACAGATTCTGTTATAATAAAGAACATTTATACAGCAAATATATTATTCAAATACTACTTATTAAGTAAGAAACTTTTGAATATTTCATGATTACTAAGGAAAAATACTGCAGGTACTTTAGATTGATTAATTTTGAGTTTACAGTTATTCATCAACTGTAACCTCATTGTTTGAATACCTGTGAAAACATTCTTACTCTTCATCGACTATCATAAGAGGTTTTGGTAGTTTTTTAGTTTGTATATGTTTGTCTTATTTAATTTTATGAAAAACATTTTTCTTTTCAGAATTTTGTGCAAAGCTACAAAACTTTTTATAAATTTGAAATAATAGATTAGAGGGAAGGTAGGTAATCAACAGCATCCACCACTAACTCTTGGGCTACTCTTGTCTCATCAAATAGTGGGATTTGACTGTCACTCTTACAGCACACCTACAACTTAAAAGTGAGCAGCACATTTTTGAAGCAGTGGGTTGAAAACCATAAATCCTCAGATTCACAGTCATGAAAAAATTATGTCGTGCCCAAATATTTTGGAAACTTATCTAATACCTGAATATTAAGTGAATTGTTAAAGCAAGCCAGTACTAATTGCTATTCAGCTTGGTTTATATTTTCTTCTTTTTAATTTAGGGGCACAGTGGATTAAAACATTTTTGTCTCCATGAGTAAGCATGAATTAGGCATCTCTATGACTAAAAAAAAATTAATAATTTAATATTAAATCTATAAATTAGGAAAAAAAAGAAAAAAATCATCTTATCAGACAGTATGATAAAAACTTTAATTTGATTCGTCCATGAAAAAAATTAAACAAAAAAATATATTTTTAACATTTTAAAAATCACTTTTTATAAACATATTTCCAAAAATAAATAACCATGAAAATAACAATCAGATATATGAAAATAAACTTATCACACTCTAAAAAGTTACTTATAAATTCAACGAATTACTTATGGTTTAGATATACTCTAATGCTTAAATAATTCAAGAACAGGAACGTTTTAATGATATGTACTGATCCAAACATTTACCATACAATTTGATTAAATTAAAAACATTGCTTAATTTTAATAGTCCAAAATTAAATCTTCATATTCCCTAACTCATAAAAATTTGCTTAAAATTTTGACCTTGAAAAAAGAAGTAAAATCTACAAAAAAAAAACTGATAGAAACATGTGGAAGGTACCACAACAGTGGGCAACATTCCCTATATGCCTCTGTGTAGCACTGTAATTTGAAAACTGTGCCAACCAAAGATATACATATACAAAAGCAATCTTAGCATATGCATGCTTATAATTAAAAAACACAAATAACTACTGTTTATTTCAAAACCACTTCTGATGCTTGCAATCTGAGCATATGCTTGCTTATAATTAAAAAACACAAATAACTACTGTTTATTTCCAAAACACTTCTGATGTTTGCTACTACAATGAAGATTTTGTTGTTTTTGCAGTTACAAAGTTTACAATTAAATTTAACTGCAATGTTCTGTTTCAGCAAAGTCAACAAGTTTGCTGCCTTTTGAGTAACTTAGCAAATTTTTTCTTTGTTTCAGTTTCACCTTCCTTGCTATCCGGTATATCCTCATCATCCTCTTTATCAGATTTGCCCTTTTCATTTGGTTTGGTTGTCTCCTTCAAGAATGAAAATAACGATACTCTTATTTCAGTGAGAATAATGAATTTATGTTTAGTTTAAACAAGAAAATTTTTTTACTAACTAATTATAACTTGCCGATGATGACAGTGAATCAATCATTGATGATTTTTAACATACATAATGGGTCAATGAAAGAACACTATATTTGCAGGTGGTTACTGAGTCAACCTCCTAATAACATATGGCTTTAATAATTAAAGTTAGAAAATATATTTATTTTTATTTAGGTATATTTGACAGAGGTCAAGTTACTGCAAAGTTATGTATATTATGCAAAAAATTCTGCCTGTATGCACCATCATTACCATTTACACCTTTTTTTTTTATAACTATGTCTCTGCTATACATAAAATGACAGGAATTAGTAAACTTCACATGAAACAATCACAGTTAAAAGAAGTTGCATGCTACCTGTGTCAGTTTTTCTCATGTATCTGATATTGGAGAAGTCTATTTCACTGTATTTTTAAAGTAGAAAATCAGGCACCAAAAACAACCCAATTAAGTTCATTTACATAATCTCAAAATGATTAGGTTAACAGAAGAAATTGATGTGGCTTGAAGAAAAATATGGAATCTTGGAGCAACATGGTAGAGATGTGCAATAGTTTTAAGATGAAAGAAACAAATGCATTCACAAAAGGTTACAGTCCTGAAGAAGTTGGCACTGTAATGACACATGGACTGCTCAAGAGAAATAGTCATATTCCTTCAATCATCAACACCAGTAAAAAATCATCAAATGTCACAAGTAAAGCTGTTTTACATACTGTGAACTTTCTATCAAAGACAGAATTATTGAATGACACTTATGACAGATTGATAGAGCTAAAATAATAAATAACAAACAAAATTAAAATAGATACACAATTAAAAATATTTTAATTAAGGCCAATCTACGGCCACTAAAAAGTTGACCCATGTTTCGTTGTTGCAATGCCATCTAGAGGAGTGAGTTGCAAGACATAATCGCGTCTTATTTATACATTTTCCTGTTGTTGTTAAATAAGTCATGTGACCTATGTACAGGTTTACAATTCCTATTTACATGACCTGTTTCACAAAAAACAACAAAAGTATAAATAAGGCATAATTATGTCTTGCCACTCACTCCTGAAGATGACATTGCAACATCGAAACATGGGTCAACTTTTTAGTGGCAGTAGATTGGCCTTAATTAAAATATTTTTAATTGTGTATCTATTTTAATTTTGTGTGTTTTTATTATTATAGCATTATACACAAGTGCCAATAAATAATACTCATAGAGCTGAAAAAAGACGCAAGGCATTAAAATCCAACCATTAATATCAAAAACATCATTTTAACTAGTCAGAGAATTGATCAGGGAAGAAATAATACAAAAATGTTAGGAGAGCTTTTTGCGTGATTGATTGCACTGAAGAAATAGTTAATGTCCCTTAGACAAGAAACTGATTCTGTTTTTTAAGTTCTGCACAAAAAAAGAAAGGTTCAGGCTGTTTTTTTTTGTAGTAACTACACTATTCAAAGTACACATATCAATAATTTTCAGTGAAATGTAAGATATAATGCAAGAGAAGAGATTCACAGAAAGCACTGGAATTCAGATCTAACAACTCAAGTGTGATGTTGTAAAAAAAACAGTGAAAATCAAAGAATTCAGGGATACTGCAAATGCTGTTTTTCCCAGAACTCAATAAAAATGTATGGGTGATTACGTGAACTGTCTGAAGCTCTGACTGAATAAAGATTTTTCAAGTCTCATGAAATGTCTTATGGTTTTCTTTTGTCAAGGGCTGTTTACAGTCTCAACAAAAAATGGGTTATTTGTTATACAGAACTTCAAGAGGAGGCAACTAAAGGACATTCAAAAGTGGGGAGGGCATACAACTAGTAATAAGACATTTTAAATTTGTGGCTATAATGAAAATGCTCTTTGATATGTTGCCTGTTGTTAATATGATGAGCCTTGTTTTCTATGAAGGCAATGTCAACTTCACAATTATTTGCCCAATTTGTGAATCAACAGTTGCAAGACTGAAAAAACTTTGTGCCATAAACTTCAGTGGAGCACACAAAAATAATTCATGGTGGGATTCCTGATGACATCATTAGATTATAGGGGGGAGTCCCTTACTGTATGCCTCACAAGCCAAGATTGAAATGATGTGCAGAGAATTCTTCAGTCATTTGATTATTAGCTTGCATGACCACTTTCCTGCAGATGATTTGTCTATTTTGCTATCTCTTAGCAAAGTCCTGAACGCTAGCACTTACCCCAGAGATGACAAAACTCTGACAACTGTAAAATAAAAACTTTATATGTAGGGTACCAATTTTATGACAATGTTAACAACACCCTCACAGGAGCAGCACTGCACTGTGATTTTTGGCAAATTTAATTTATGCTACAGGGTCTTGTCCAACCCAATTTAAGAGGAATCCTGAATACCACTTACTATGGACCATACTGATATCTACTCAGAAATTTCAGCTTTTACTTCAACTGTTGCAGTTATGCCAATTATCTTTGTTTCTTTAGTGATTTTTCAGCCCCAAATCACTTCAAGAGTGCAAAGCAGCCTTGAATCACAGAAGACCTTGTGAGTAACCTGCAAACAATTGCATTGAAGGGACCAAGTCAACTAGATTTCAAATATGAAGGACCACTGGGAGCTTCTGAGCCATGAACTGAATATATTGTAAATAAAGAAAATTTGTGAATGCTCTTTTTTGTATATATTTCTCACATGATTATTTAGCACTTATGCAAATTTGGGTTACCCACGTGTTTACAGTTTTTGTTGTTAAACACAAAGCTATACAATTGGCTATCTGTGCTGTGCCCATCATGGGTATTGAAGCATGGGCCTTAGCATTATAAGTCTACAGACTTGCTGCTGAGCCACTGGAGGGCCATGTAAGAATCTTAAATCCACATGTAGCATTTCTTAAAAAAAAAAAAAAATGTCACATTTATTCATGGCAAGAGTTTATAATAGCAACAGCTTCATTAATTGAATGTGTATATGAAGCTTGGCATGTGACATAAATATTATGGACTGAAATTCCTCAACTGAAACAGGATAGAATGGTGAGAAAGTATACATTTAGGATTACTGTTCCAGAAAGTGTTGCAGCACACCTTGAGACTCCGAGGCCAGAAAGAAACTAGAGAGAAAACCAACAAGTCACTTGTGTCTAATGTTTATCAAAACTGACATGCCTATTTTGCAGAAAAGTGTCACTGAAATATTTGACTTGTTAGCCACCATTGAATCCACTGAATCCCAACCTTGTTTCTCTCAGTAATACTAAAACTGAGTAATTGTACAAAAATGTTTTTGACTTCTACTTTCTTCTAAAAATTAAACACATTCATACAAAACAAATCACATTTTCAAAGACAAGTGATCAAATTTTCATGTGGCTGAATTCTGTAGGTGCTTATTTACTTAGTAATGCTGAAAAAGCAAGTTGAGTTTATCAGCTTTTAAGTGGCAGAGTAATATGGTACTGTATCCATCAAAACATGGCTTGCACAGGTAGCCTGTGTTGGTTACCATGGTGATGGTGCACAAGCTGAAGGAAATTTGTTTAATATTATCATATATATATATATATATGTAACATTGATATACATGTACTTACAATATATATATATTTTCAATTATACATGCATGGTGTTACACACTTGTATGGATGTTACACAAGGTCATTCATGAGTCTTGTATGACACAAATGAATCAATTACAAAGAGAACACAAATGTCAAGCATAATACGGATGAAAATGAATGGTCTGATCTGAATAGTAAAGTACTAAGATACGAATTAAACTATACCTACTGATCTGTAAAACATTATTTGAAGATGTGATGCATACAATATTTATAGTAATGCTAATGAAAGAACATTTTCAATTTTTACACTGAAATATTTGGTAGTGGTAGATTTTTATTGAGAAGATGAAAGTAATTAGTGAGCTCACACTACATTTGATGGAATAAACAGTTTTACCTGATGTTTTGAGTTATAGTAGTGAAGGATATTTTTGACTGGAACAAATTTAAATATTCAGGAGCAAGTGAAATTATCTGATAAAAGTGAAATCCATAGAAAGTAACATGTCATACCAAAAGTAAACTTGATGTACCCAGTGTTTTATTTGATTTAATATTTTCACTCATGCAAATTGAAATATTTTGTGAACATGAAATTTTTAACTGAAACAGAGCTGATGGATGAAAATGAGTTAATGGCAACTTGTCTGAAGCGTGTGCTCTGCCAGATTGCAAGCAGGTTAGCCCTGCAGTCTCCAAGAGTCACACAGTTCATTGACCACTGACCAACCTTTGACCTCCAGGCTGCCAATGGAGGTACCAGTGACACTCAACCACAAGTAACAATGTCCAAACCAGAGCTCATGCTAACCCCAATCAATCCAGAGCCAATGTAGAATATGTGACACCACAAGAAGGTCATGAAGAGTCCCACTGAAAGAAGTGCCTTAATTAAACATCAATGTCACCTGATACAAGTCAACTTCAATAAGTTTACTTTATCCCAAAGCTAAAAAAAAAAAGACCTTCATGGAGCTGGAATCTAGCTAGAAATCATCTTAGTGTTAAGCAAGTCAAACTTCATCAGTACAAGTGCCCAAGACATTTCCCAGGTAGCCACCAACAACAAAGTTACTGATCTAGACAGATATCACTGTCAGGGCATCTACTTCGGCAGCTGCAACACCACCCAAAAACATTATGTCATGGCTTCAAAGTCAGATAAAAACTGGAACACCCAAAGACCATAACCCAATGCCACATGTCTGTGTGAATGTTCTTACAGTGAGTTTTGGTTTCGAATCAAGTGTTAGATCTGACAACACTGAGGTTAAGAAAGGACAACTGTTTGTTATTTTAATGCCTGGTGGTGAATTTAATGTTGGGTTTAATGAAATTTGTGTGTGTGCAGAAAAAGACTGTGGGTGCTTGG